GTCAAAACTGATAAAACTATTCACAAAAACTATATCATTTGGAAATTATGCCTTAATAAACCTGACCACTCCTCAAAGACTTTTATAATGCTTATCACAAATTTCAATGGCAATAGTTATAAACGTAAGCTCCTTTTTTTTCTCCTGTGAAAAAATCATATAACTGAGAAATCAATAAAGACTTTAAAAATTAAGATATTAAAATGAAAAGCACTTGCAATACAATATCTATGCCTTAAGATAAGTAATAATAAATATATGCAGTAAATGATTATGTTTCAGTCTCTTTCGCTTTTTGGTTTTATGAGTTCCATGTCAATGAAAGTTTTCTTTTCCCTCAGATAAATAGTACTGTTTCATTTTTCTTTTAAATAATGTTGCAGCTGAAGTTTCTCAAATAAACCCAGCTTGCCACCTTCAGGCAACTGAAAGATTTACAGAGACCATGGTCAGAGATAGAACATTAATACTGCATCTTTCTCAACAATCCATAAATAATAATATCTTGGTCACTCTATTAGTGCCTTTGTGAAATTTGCTTTACCTAGACTCTTTCCCTAGCATTTACTTGAATCTTCCCAACTTTCAAAGCTCATTTCCAATGTCACTAACTCCAAGAAGCTTTCCCTACTCACTTTAGCTAATTTTTTCTCTAAATATTTTATCTCCTTGATTCATGAAAATCTCATTGAAGGTAATGACTATGTCTTACACATATTTTTATGCCTCTGTGTGGCTCTTAAAAAGGGTGCAGGCCGGGGGTGGTGGCTCACACCTGTAATCTTAGCACTCTGGGAGGCCGAGGCGGGTGGATTGCTCAAGGTCAGGAGTTCGAAACCAGCCTGAGCGAGACCCCGTCTCTACTAAAAAAATAGGAAGAAACTAATTGACCAACTAAAAATATATATACCAAAAATTAGCCGGGCATGGTGGCACATGCCTGTAGTCCCAGCTACTCAGGAGGCTGAGGCAGTAGGATCACTTGAGCCCCGGAGATTGAGGTTGCTGTGAGCTAGGCTGACGCCACAGCACTCACTCTAGTCTGGGCAATAAAGCAAGACTCTGTCTCAAAAAAATAAAAAATAAAATAAAATAAAAAGGGTCCATATAGGCCAGAGTGATGGCACAAGCCTATAATCCTAGCACTTTGGGAGGCTGAGGCAGGAAGATCATTTGTGCCTAGGAGTTCAAGACTAGCCTGAGCAACATAGCATGACCTCATCTCTACTAAAAAAAAAAAAAAATTAGCTAGGCATGACCATATGTGGTTGTAGTTCCAGCTACTTAAGAGGCTGAGAGGCCAATACAGGAAGATTGCTTGAGCCCAGGAGTTTGAGGCTGCAGTGAAATATGATGACACCACCCCACTCCAGGGGTAACAGAGCAAGACCTTGTCTTGAAAAAGAAAAGGGAGGCCGGGCGTGGTGGCTCACGCTTGTAATCCTAGCACTTTGGGAGGCCGAGGCGGGCGGATTGCTCAAGGTCAGGAGTTCGAAACCAGCCTGAGCGAGACCCCGTCTCTACCAAAAATAGAAATAAATTAATTGACCAACTAAAAAAATATATACAAAAAATTAGCTGGGCATGGTGGTGCATATGTAGTCCCAGCTACTCGGGAGGCTGAGGCAGTAGGATCGCTGAGTCCCGGAGATTGAGGTTGCTGTGAGCCAGGCTGATGCCACGGCACTCACTCTAGCCTGGGCAACAAAGTGAGACTTTGTCTCAAAAAAAAAAAAAGAAAAAGAAAAGGGGGTGCATATAATAGTTGCGAATTCTAATATTTACTGAATGAATGCATGAATGAATAAAAGGAAGCTAGAGTAAATATTGGGCTTTCATTTGGAAGAGGCCCTATTTTACCAGTAGATTAATAGGGATTATACACATTTATTAAGGTTTATATACATACATGCAAAATGACAATTTTCATTGATGATGACTAGAAGTGTCTCAATCTCTATTAAGCTCTCAAATCAAATTGAAGAATGAATTAATGACTGCTTGGTGACTGGTCTTGTGATAATTACTCAAATTTTAATATCTGGATTCTATTTTTTTTTTTTAGACTAGTCAAGTGCAGTAGTGAGAAGAGGGAAAGTGGAACAAGGAGTTCAACCTGAAACTGACTGTGAATAATCAAGTCACAGTCAATAACTCACTACCTTTGGACCACCCAATATCTAGATTTTTTTTTTTTGAGACAGAGTCTCACTCTGTGGCCCGGGCTAGAGTGAGTGCCATAGTGTTAGCCTAGCTCACAGCAACCTCAAACTCCTGGGCTCAAGCAATCCTACTGCCTCAGCCTACTGATTAGCTGGGACTACAGGCATGTGCCACCATGCCCGGCTAATTTTTTCTCTATATATATTAGTTGGCCAATTAATTTCTTTCCATTTTTATAGTAGAGATGGGGTCTCTCTCAGGCTGGTTTTGAACTCCTGACCTCGAGCAATCTGCCCGCCTCGGCCTCCTAGAGTGCTTGGATTACAGGCGTGAGCCACTGTGCCTGGCCCCAAAGTCTTTTCTTGATCATCACATAAACACTGCAGTAGCAGCATTTTTTTCTAGCTATTAATTTCTCTCTCTTTCATTTACCTTAGTTGATTATAACCCAACGTCTCCTAATGCATTTAGTACATTTTCAGTTTACTCTCTAATTCCCTTCTCAGCCACAATCTGGCTTCAGTCTGCTCCTTTTTACCAAAACAACTCTTGTTTTGGTCAAATGAGGGAGTTTTAAAAAAATCCATATACTTGCTATCATTGCTCACTCTCTTTCTGTGACCAATTAGATTCTGTTATTATTAGTTTTCCATATCTCACCATTTGTCTAGTGTTTTAAATTTTGTTACTGTATTAATAATATTTTTGATAATGTTTCTTTTTACAGTACTTATTCCTTTTAACCATCATGACAGTGGTCCTATACTTTCCTTTCTTTCCTGAAGATGACTTAAATATTCGATTCCATTTCTGTAGCTCTTTAATGTTGAGCCTCCTTCCTGTCTCTTTTGGATGCTCCAAAACAGATTGCTTGGATTCAAGAACGTTTTGAAAGACTGCATATGAAGCAATAGCAGCATGGTGCAATTTATACTTTTCACACTTCCTTAAATATCTTTTTTTTCCAGGTTTTTCTTGTAACCCAAAGATAACAAGAAATAGATTCCATGTTGTTGGGGACGTTGACTTTTCTTCCCAGACTCAACCGATGTGTTTTCTATTTTTACTCTGTATTTGTGTCTTATTTGTCATTGTAATTTGTAAACTCACTGGGCAGGAAATAATGGGTGACCTTCCAATTTGGGATAGCCCCAAGCACACAAGTATTAATGGTAACATGTTTTAAATGTCCTTGGTTATAAAATGAACAATGTTAAACAGTATTTGAGTTTTTCACTTTTACCTTTCTTCATTCTTGGTTAGCAGGTTTTATTCTAGATACTCTCATTGGGTGGTTTTGATATTAGAATGAGGCCAGCTCTACGTGATTTACAAGAATTGGAAGAAAATACAGTATTTTGGCACCAAGATCAAGATAATTACATCTCTCAGTACAGTATAGGGGTTATTAGTGTGGTTTTGAATCCTGGCCCTCTTAGCTCTTTGTTTTGTCACCATGGGCAAATTGCTGAACCTTGATTCTAAAATGTGAAAATTAGGGATAGTAATCACCTACCTCTCTGGGTTTTTGTGAGGAATAAAGAAAATAATTTACAGTTGACCCTTGAACAATGCAAGGGTAGGGGTAACTCCCTCTCCTGAAGTAAAAAATCCAAGTATAACTCTTGACTCACTAAGAGTTTAACTACTAATAGCTAATTGTTGACTGGAAGCTATATCAATAACATAAACAGTTGATTAATAGATTTTTTATGTTATACATATTATATACTGTATTCTTACAATAATATAACCTAGAGAAAAGAAAATGTTATTAAGAAATTCATAAGGAAGAGAAAATATACTTCCAACTCATTAACTGGAAATGGACCATCATAAAGGTCTTCATTCTATTCATCTTAATGTTGAGTAGGCTAAGGAGAAGGAAGAGGAGGGCTTGGTCTTGCCATCTCAGGGGTAGCAGAGGCAGAAGAAAATCTGGGTATAAATGGACCACGGCAGTTCAAATCTGTGTTGTTCAAGGGTCAACTGTATATTAAACATTTGACCAATATGTGCTCAGTAAAAGGTAACCATCATTGGTCTGAAATGATTCTGTTCATTTTTTTTAGAAAGTGACTATATTATTTCACTGATATAGTTTCCCTGTACTGAAATACTTACTGAGGTCACCGATACCTTGCCTGTACTACATTTTTGCTTTGTTTGTTTTTCTGATCTGTAATATTTTGAATTTCTAACCTAATCCAGGAGGTTGGGAGATGCCCCTAACAGACAGGAGAAACCTGGGATGGTCTCCTATTACCAGATTTATTCCTATGATGCCCAGGTTTTGAGATACAAAGTTGTTAGAAAGTTCTACCTCATTTGGTATCATTCCAAATCTGATAAACTTGCATTTTAGGCATTGTTGATCAGTTTCATTTAAAAGGAATTGGTATAAGTCATTTTAATGAGCACAGAAAAATCTTGGAGTCAAACAACCTTATGATAGCTACATCTTTTGAAGCTTGGTCAGACAGTAGGGGCCTTTAGTTGATAGTAAAGCAATAGTTTGAGTTGTCTTCTTTGGTAGTAAGCGTTGATTAATTCTAACAGCAGGAACAGTTGAAAAGTCAAAGAAACAATCTTCACATGACATTGATTTTTGTTACAGTTGACACTATGTAAAAAATTGGCAGGTTTTGTAACAGAAAGAACTGCCCTACAAAGTACCTCTTCTGAAAAAGTCACCCCACCTCAAATGTGTATCTGTTGAACTTTTCAGCTATTGTGGTTTCCAAAAAATGCACATCTATTAAAAGTGAGCTTAATTTCTTAGGAGATCAATTATTCATCCATCCATGCAGCAAGTTCAACAATTGATAGCTCAAGTCAAATCACTGTACTGGGTGCTGGGTGTACAGTGGTATTCTAAAGTTCTGGCTCTTGTGGGGCTTTATTGTCTAGTTAAGGGTTGGAGAAACATCCAAATAAATTAAAATGCAGGGTCCAGTGAAAGAAATGAACAGCGTTGGGGACCTGTTCTGTAGTTTTGCAAACTACTTAAGTAAAACTTCAGCTCTGCAACTTAGGAGCTGTGTGCCTTAACACAGGAATGGTGAAAATGAGTTGTTGAACACGCACTATGGGATGGTTCCAGTTCCCGGCAAAGGGTCATTTCAGGTCAGGTGTGTGAATGCAGAACAGGCTGCATAGTGACCACTGTGGCAGAGAAAAGGGGTGTCGCTGCGTCCTTTGGCACTCAAGAGGAGAAACTGGAGGGGGCCCGCGGGGATGGGTTAGCAGCAGGAGGCGGAGCACACGTGGCAGTTGGGGGAAAACCCCTGTGGGAGGGGACTTGGCTCCTGGTCCGGTCGCACGGTCTCGGAGCTTTCCAGCCGCTAAGCGCCACGTCAAGGAGCAGCTGCCCCTCCCCTCACTTCGAGTCGCACGCGCGGAAGTAAACACCTCTACGTCATCAGGGCGCGTCCTCGCCTTTCCCCTCCCATCTCTTCAGATCGGTGGACGTGCTCACCTCCGCTCGGGGCCAGGTCTATGTCCCGGTTTCCCGCTGTCGCGGGCAGGGCGCCAAGGCGGCAGGAGGAGGGTGAGCGGTCAAGAGACCTCCTGGAAGAGCGGCCCTCGGCTGTTTCCATCGCTGATAGAGGTGCGGTCCGCGGGACGCTACGGAAGCCAGTGGGAGTTATGGCATGGGGGTTTTGGGGGTTGAAAGTATGCCTTTGGCTGCTAGAGAAGAGTAGGGAGGAAGCCGCGGCGTTCTCTTGGCCCTACAAGCCAGCGGCGAACTTTGCGTCCAGTGAGCACTTTGGCTTAGAGGGGGGCGGTCCCAGACCCAAGTTGGGTGAAAACCTTGCTGGGGGGCAAAAAAGTGAACCCCAACGCCGAAATGCGTTCTGCTCTTAAACAGACTCATAAAGCCTTTGTTCTCTACCCATTCATCCTCCCCCCTCCTTCGTCGGGCCGCCAGCCTGCCTTTGGGTACTGTATGAAGGGAGCCAGTTTCCAGGAGCCAGTTTCCATGGTTACCCACCACTTGGCCTTCTGGGATATCAGTCACTCTGAACAGGGACCTAACTTGAACCATGAATCAGAAGCAAACACAGGTGGCTTCTAATCCAGTTGAGAATTTTCTGCTGTGTTCCAGTTTTTGGTCTGTTGTTTAATAAAATTGGGTTTTGTGCTTCTGTGTAAGTATGCATGTATATACATTGCCTTGCTGTATGCCTACTTTGAAAAGTACTTTGAGTTATGCCTTAGCAAATGCTCAAGTTGTTCAGTTTCATCAAAAAGTTGTTCTGGGCTTATAAACTGTGGCTTATCCATTGTACACAGGAGATTTAACTGAGAAGTCATGGATTAATCCCTTCCAACTCTAAGATTCTATTGCCTTTCTGTTTTCTGTTCTGATAAATTGAGTCAGGGGTATCTTTAGAGGCTTTTTAATTGCACAATTGTTTTTTCTGTCATTACAGAAGAGAAAGGATGCACCTCACAGGAGGGAGGAACTACTCCAACTTTTCCTATTCAGAAACAAAGAAAAAAGCTTATTCAAGCTGTGAGGGACAATTCATTCCTTATTGTTACTGGAAATACAGGAAGTGGTAAAACAACTCAACTCCCCAAATATCTGTATGAAGCAGGTAATTTTATTCTGGGGTAATATTGGGCGCATTTAAAAAATACATCATCTTCTTGAAGACTGATAGGACTTCTATACTGCATAAATGCCCACTATTTGTTTTACAGTCTTACTTCTCTAGATACACCCTCCCCTATGTCTTTCTTGCTTGTTTATGGTCTTATTTCAGATTCAGGAATTAGTTGAGATGGCAAATTTTTCCATTTTTAATTATCTTAATAATCCCAAATAGGAGAATGACATCTAGATACTAAGTCTCTTTTATAGAAGAAGGTTGTGTTGCAGTAGAGAGTTAACCATTGGATATTGAATAATTTTGAGTGAGGAGGAATATGTTGACACCTGTTGCTGACATTAGTATTAATACTTCTTTTTTTTTTCTCCAGAGCATTATCAGGTAAATATTTATTCCCTGATTCTGCCAGCACCAAGCTAGCTAACAAAATACTCTTAAAGTATGTTAAATAAAATTTTTTGGAGGCTGTTGGTTTGGACTGAGCTCCTGCATTAGCCCAACAAATCAGTCCAAAATGGAGTTACTCATGCTGAAATTCCACCCCACCATGATGAGAAATCAAGTTGTTCATCTGACCTGAGAAATCAGAAGAGAGAGAGTTAATGGCCAAATCCCCAAACAGACCAGTTTTAGAAGGCATGACAACCCCCCCCACCCCCCTCACTTTTACCTTTTTTTTTTGAGACAGAGTCTCGCTCTGTTGCCCTGACTAGAGTGCTGTAGCGTCAGCCTAGCTCACAGTAACCTCAAACTCCTGAGCTCAGGCGATACTTCTGCCTCAGCCTCCTGAGTAGCTGGGATTACAGGTGTGTGCCACCATGCCCACCTAATTTTTTCTATATATTTTTAGTTGACCAATTAATTTCTTTCTATTTTTAGTAGAGACGGGGGTCTCGCTCTTGCTCAGGCTGGTTTCGAACTCCTGACCCTGAGCGAGCCTTCCACCTCAGCCTCCCAGAATGCTAGGATTACAGGCGTGAACCACTGCACCTGGCTAAAAGGTGGCATATTTATTTATTTATTTATTTTATTTTATTTTATTTTTTTTTGAGACAGAGTCTCGCTTTGTTGCCCAGGCTAGAGTGAGTGCCGTGGCGTCAGCCTAGCTCACAGCAACCTCAAACTCCTGGGCTCGAGCGATCCTTCTGTCTCAGCCTCCCGAGTAGCTGGGACTACAGGCATGCGCCACCATGCCTGGCTAATTTTTTATATATATATCAGTTGGCCAATTAGTTTCTTTCTATTTATAGTAGAGACGGGGTCTCGCTCTTGCTCAGGCTGGTTTTGAACTCCTGACCTTGAGCAATCCGCCCGCCTCGGCCTCCCAGAGAGCTAGGATTACAGGCGTGAGCCACCGCGCCCGGCCAAAGGTGGCATATTTAAATCCAGTTATATTTCTGTGGCAAAGTTAAATTGATTTTAGGAAATGCATAGAATTTCATGGATTCCTAGTTTTAAAATTCAGTAAATCTTTAGACAGAAATTGAACAAAAGAAAATGCTGGGTACAGGTGGCTTGAGCCTCTGCTCCCAGCTTCTTTGGAGTCTGAGGCGGGAAGACAACAGAGAGAGATCTGTCTCAAAAGAAAAAAACAAAAACAAAACCTCAATCCTAATTAAAGGATACATATTTCAAATGGTTATTAATATGCATTTTTAGTTTTAATTAATATTTACATTTCCATGGTGCAAAGGCAATACAGTATGTTGCTATGTGCAGGGTTTTCTTTTGGAAACATTGAAGCAGTTTGTATTCATTGCCCAGAAACAATTTAGCTCTTGTAGGAGAAACAATTGCTAACATCATTGTGTTTTTTACCTTTGGTTTTGATAGGGTTTTCACAACATGGTATGATTGGTGTGACTCAGCCACGAAAAGTAGCTGCCATATCAGTTGCACAGAGGGTGGCCGAAGAAATGAAATGCACCTTGGGATCCAAAGTAGGATACCAAGTTCGATTTGATGATTGCAGCTCTAAGGTACAAAAGTTTTGTTAGTATTCATCTAAGTACTAATAACTTAACAGAAAGAGTGGGGGAAGTTCTAAAAGTTTTTTAACTTTAAATTTCCATATATATTTTAAAGAAACAGAGCCTTAGAATTTATTTTTGTTGTCCATTGTTAATACTTTAGCTCAGCCCATTTTCTCCCTCCTTAATTAGTTTATAAGTGCCACTTATATTTATTTTTCTTAGGATTCTCTTATTTTATGTTTTTTAGCTGTAAGAATCCTTGACATATAGGTTACATTTGTATTTTAAAAAATTTTATTGTAGTAAAATATACATAATGAAATTGACCATTTTAACCATTTTTTAGGTGTACAATTCAGTGGCATTATGTACATACACAGTGTTGTGTAACATTGTATATTTTCAGAAGTTTTCATTATCCCAAACAGAAACTCTCTATCTATTAAACAATAGATTAATCACTTCAGTACAGCGCTCACCAGCCGTGAAATCTTGCCCACAGCCGGCACTCATAGTCCACACAATAGTTTGTGTGCTGTGCATTGACGATGAATCCATTTTGCTCTTGTATGATGAGGAAAGCACATTGTTTTAAAACACTGAAAGCTTGTTTTACTTTACAGGCAGCTTTACTTGTAATGTAAATCAGAATAGGTAACATATACATATATGTTTTTATTACGTTATTTTTAAATGTTCACAATTTTATTTTGATAAATGAAAAATTAGAAAAGTCATATCACGGCTGTTGGCTAAAGTTGACACTCGGCTGTGCACGTTCATCTGTGGCTATCGACTATAGTCCACGCTCTTACTGAAGTGGTTAAACTTCTCATTTCCCCTCCCCCAAGCCTCTGGTAATCTCTATTTTACTTTCTGTCTCTACAAATTTGCCTGTTCTAGGTACTATTTTGTACTTTGTGTCTTGCTTATTTCACTTAGCATGTTTTCAAGGTTCATCCATGTTGTGTCTTTGTATTCTTGAAGTCAGTGGAAAACTGACAACTTAATTAACAAAGTTAGTTATTAAGTATTAACTATCTTCTATACACACAGCATCAATAAATTTAAAATTGCTTTCTTTTTAATAGTGAATAGTTACAGGATTTCTTAATCCTGTGCTAAATACAGAAGAATCCCTGGTTTACATATGTTCTCTAATAGAAATGGCCATGGCATGTAGCACAAAATGACTCTCCAAAATACTGTCTTTACCTTTCTAGTGATCACTCGTGGGATTTTCTCTCTTTTTTTTCTTTCCTTGTTTTATGTATATCATTGCTGTTACTCCTAATCTTTGGGTGTTTTTCTTACCTTGTTTTATTAATGCTAGTCGAGTGACATTGTTTTTTAATAGGACAATGGGCAGGGAAGAGGAGAGATTGAGTGGGAAGTACCATTTCCTTTACCTTCCCCCCCCAATCCTCTAAAATAGTGGCTGAGGCAAGGACATGTTGTTTCCCACAGCTTGCTCACCTTAAGCTATTGCATTTTCTTGCCACTTTCTATTGACTTTATTGTATTTTCTTATGACTTTTGTTGTTTTATCCAAAAATGCTCACCTTTGTTTGTTTGTTTGTTTGTTTGAGACAGAGTCTTGCTCTGTTGCCTGGGCTAGAGCTAGGCATCAGCCTAGTTCACAGCAACTTCAAACTCCTGGGCTCAAGTGATTCTCCTCCTTCAGCCTCCCTCCTGCCTCAGCCTCCCAAGTAGCTAGGACTATAGGTGTGTGCCACCACACCAGCTAATTTTTTTATATTTTTAGTTGTCTGGCTAATTTCTTTCTATTTTTAGTAGAAATGGGGTCTCGCTCTTGCTCAGGCTGGTCTCAAACTCCTGACCTCAAGTGATCCTCCTGCCTTGGCCTGCCAGAGTACTAGGATTACAGGCATGAGCCAGCACACCCGGCCTCACCTTTATTCTTTATCCCTGTTTCTGTATAGATCACAGGTTTCATAACTTACCATTCTTGTTAGACTATTTTATGTATTCTTTAGTCAGATTAGTTTGATCACTTAATGTCTTTACATTTTGGGGAAAAATTTAGTTGGGAAAGTAGTGGTGAATTTTTGTGATACTACAAGTTGATATGCTCTGCTCTTTGAACATTAGGAGACAGCAATCAAATACATGACTGATGGATGTTTACTGAAACATATTCTGGGAGATCCAAATCTTACTAAATTCAGTGTCATTATTTTAGATGAAGCCCATGAGAGAACTCTAACTACAGTGAGTATTAATATATTGGTTTTTTTTTTAGTAAGTAGTTTACTTGTCTGGGGTAGCTTTTTACTGTATAGAGAATTGCCTCCTCTTACTTGTATTAATATTTTAATCTGCTAAAATTGGAGTTTCTTGCTTAGAATAGCAATATATTTAAAATAGGCTTGCTGTTAGGTACACTTGTGACTTATTAGAATATTACTTTTCTTTCAGGATATCTTATTTGGTTTGTTGAAGAAACTATTTCAGGAGAAGTCTCCTAACAGGAAGGAGCATTTAAAGGTGGTCGTAATGTCAGCAACTATGGAATTAGCCAAACTGTCTGCGTTCTTTGGAAATTGTCCAATATTTGATATACCTGGAAGGCTTTATCCAGTCAGAGAGAAATTCTGCAATTTGATTGGCCCACGAGACAGAGAAAATACTGCATATATTCAAGCGGTATTACTTGGCATCCTTTTTATGTCTTTTCTTTTTATATCTATGATTCTAATTAATTGGGTAGTTTGGTAATTCATTTGTTCCCTACTATATTAATGACAGCCCTTATGGGTCGTAGGACTTTTGAGAACCAAATTTAGTTTTTCTGTGGCGTAAGGGAGGTGCTGGTAGGGGAATGACTATTGTGATAGCATATTATGCTTGTGTTTTTTGCTTTAGATCGTGAAAGTGACCATGGATATCCATTTGAATGAAATGGCTGGAGACATCTTGGTTTTTCTAACTGGTAAGCATTCAGTATCTGGTTTAAAAATGTTTACTATTTGTAATTGAGGAATGTGGCACCCAGATAGAATGCTGCCTCTGTTGGGAAATCTGGGTCTGTCTTAACTACTACCTTAGTTTTTTATGTTTATCTGACTAGCTTTAGATAAAAGCTATCTCAAATGTCAGGCTCGTTACTAAATATTTGTAAGTGCACTGACGTTTTAGAAGAAAGAAATTAAATGGTTAAGTATTATTTTTATTGGTCTATCTTATATGGAGCTATAACCTAACTAAACAGACCTGAATCTGAATGATTAATTTCATTATTTCAGAAAACATCCCACCAGCTTTTTTCTTCTTCGAGTGGTGGAATGGTACTATGTGAAAGTGGTACATGAGGTGTGGAATCCATCTATACTAGACAAGCCTTTGGCTTTCTATGGAGGTCAAAAAATAAAAGTTAAATCCCAGATTAGTGGTGTAACTTTTCAAGTAGCAGCACTCTACTAAAAGGAATGAGTCACTCCCTTGCTTATCTTCTATTCTACCTTGTACTAAGGTCAGAAGTAAGACATTGTAGCAATCTCTTTGCCTTTTGAAGGTTATTTAAGTGTTTTGAAATATACCCAAATGCAATGGCTTCTGGATTAACTGACCCTATGTTAACAATTTAGTGAGTCCTCTCAAATAACTGTGTTAACAAGATGAAAGTCTAGAAGATGATAAACATTTTTATTCCTTTAGAGATTTAAATTCCTTGGAAACTGGTGTGTCTTCTACTTTGAATTTTATTGTTGAAATTTGGTATAATTTATGTGTTCATCTTCTTCAGATCAAATGAGATTTAAAATAACTCTTAGGCAAAACTAATTTTAATCTTGACTTTTTTATTCTTAAATTAATTTTGCTGTTCAGTTGCTGAAATTTTTTCCTCTCTCCCATTTTAGGCCAGTTTGAAATCGAAAAAAGTTGTGAGTTACTTTTTCAGATGGCAGAGTCTGTTGATTATGATTATGATGTTCAAGATACCACCCTAGATGGCTTGTTAATATTGCCATGTTATGGATCTATGACAACAGGTAATCTTCACTAGAATAGAAAATTTGACTGATTTTTTGAAAACTTTTTATTGTATAATCATATATATAGAAGAGCACACAGTTCTTAAGTGTTTAGGTCAATGAATTTCACAGACTGACCTCATCTTTGTAACCAACACCCAGATCATGAAAAAGAACACTTAGAGAACTAGCATCCCTTGAGAGAAGTGATTTTTGCTTGAAGTCTTTTCAGTCACTTTTTGAGGAGCCTTAGGTGTCCCTCTTAGTATTGTTAATAGTGGGCTATGTTCTGTCCCAGCAAAACAAAAATATTGGTGGGAATATTTTGAAATTAGGACTATAGTTTCTTTTTCTTTATTTTCTTTTTTTTGAGACAAAGTTTTCCCCTGTTGCCTGGGCCTGAGTAGCTAGGACTGCACATAACACCACACCTAGCTAAACTTTTTTCTTTTCTTTTCTTTTCTTTTCTTTTCTTTTCTTTTCTTTTCTTTTCTTTTCTTTTCTTTTCTTTCTCTTTCTCTCTTTCTTCCTTCCTTTCTTTCTTTCTTTCTTTCTTTCTTTCTTTCTTTCTTTCTTTCTTTCTTTCTTTCATCTATCTTTCTTTCTTTCTTTTTCTTTTCTTTTCTTTTTTTCTTTCTTTCTTTCTTTTTTTTTTTTTTTTTCTTTTCTTTTCTTTTTTTCTTTCTTTCTTTCTTTTTTTTTTTTTTTTGGTAGAGACAGGTTCTTGCTATGTTGCCCAGGCTGGTCTTGGATTCCTGGCCTCAAGGAATCCTGCTGCCCAGGCCTCCCAAAGTGCTAGGATAACAGGCATAAGCCACCACTGCTCCTGGCCTGAGGACTGTAGTTTCTTGATAGTAGTCCCAGAAATCACATCTAATTTTCCATTGCCACATAATTTTTAGAAATTGTACATATCCAGATATATCTAAGACTAAACACAGTGGATTGTTTTGCTTTTAACTAGCCACACATTAGTTTGCTTTTCAAGAATGATCCTGCTCTTTTGTGAATTCCAGGAGCAAATGCAAACTCTTGTTTTGATATTTGGTCATAATAAATATTGTTGAATGAGGTTTAAAATTTGTGAAACTTCTATTATGAAATTTATCTTGTAAAACTAAAGGGAAGTTAACCATAGCCTCCTATTTGGAGTTTGATTGGGATTAGCATTTAAATGTTTTTATATTTTATGTGCATTATAGTTTTTGTTGAGTAGGTGATTCTTATACTTACACTAACAAAAAAAGTTTTGAAATATATGTGTCAGTAAAGAACCATAGACATGTGCTTTTTGGGATCTTTTGTGGTGATATTAGGCTCTTACTCTCTATGTTGAAGCACAGATCTCTATTTTAGATTTTTACATCGTCAAAGGAATTCTTAGGGTCATTATTGGATATTTAAGGTTCTTATTGTTTTTTGTCGATTTGATCCACTGACCCTTTTATGATTTATTTTATAACTGATAAATTCAAAGCCCATTATGGTTGCTTTGTTATTAACCATTAACTAAATATATATATATATTTTTTCTATGTAAATAATTTCATTCTTACTACCACATTGAAAATAATGTTCTGTATCTGTTATTGCCTCTAATTTAACTTCCTGAAATCTGGGGTTGCTAGTGATTTATTTCATGTATCATGAAATAGATCATGATTTCAAGTATCATGCCTTTTTTCTATTTGTGTTTTGATTTTTGTGATACGAATGATAGTATCCTTGAAATGCAGTCCTCTGAGATAATATTTAATTATCTGTTTCTCCCAACTATTCTTTCTTGGAGGCTGTTGGCAGACCTCCCTCTCCTCCCCTCCTTTGTCCCTGCTTAAATTATTGTTTCTTAAGGTTTCATCCTTAGCTTGCTGTTTTCTTAGAATTCTCTGTTTTGGAGAGGTTGGCTCCTGGGATTCACCTGTCATTTCTGTGGATGACTCCTGAGAGCTATCCCTAGTTCAGTCTCACTCTGTGCACTAGACCTCCTAGGTCTCCTCACTGGGCTTTCTGGTCTGTGCATCATGTCATCTCAGATCATTCAGTCCAAGCAAGCGGCAACTCCTACAGGTTTTCTGTTACATTTATGTTGTAAAGATTGTTCATTCTTCTTTTTCTCTTTTTACTCATTGCTAGAGTTGTGGATTCTCAATTTGCTTTCCTGAGTTGTTTGCATAGCCTGCTAACTCATCTTTCTGATTTAATTTACCATCCTACCTGCAGTGGTAAGCATAATTTTCTAAAAGCACAGCTCTGATTATATCAGAACTCCATTGGATACTTTCAGCCATTCCCTACTGCCAACTGAATTAAAATGCCAGTTTAATAACCTGGTATTCATTATGTTTCCAGCATTACTTCAACCTGTTTTCAGCCTTAATTTCCAGTGTATGTGATTTTCTATATTGGCGTATATGTATGAATGGTGAAGATGTGTGACTAGGTGTGATAAATCTTAGTTTCTCTTCTGATTCCAAAGGTGAGCTGCTAGTGATTCATTTTGAACTTAATAATATTTATTGTAGCAGTTTAGAACACTGCAAAGAAGCAGTCATACGTTGGTGAGTAGGTATTGAGTAATGGGTGAGGTAGAGTTGGATGAAGTAGGGAGAGAGTGGCAGGTACTTGGGATCTTAGGATTTCTTTTTTAGCTTAATTAATACAACGTAGGACTTAATTTTCTTTATAATTGGCAGTTTGGGTGATGGAGAGAGACATTATTATAATATTATTTCCTATTATGTTTCAGGGATAGAAAACTTGCACTTGGGAGTGGGGAGAGGGACTGGGGGGGGGTTCAAAATGTCCCCTAGTTAGGTTTAGTGAATAGGCAAAAATTATGAGGTAAATATTTTATATTTTGCTATTATTTCTGGACTAGCCATGAGGGTTGCTACCTGTTTTGAAGGGACATTTTAAAATACCTCCCTAACTGACATCCAGAGTTCTTATCTGTCAAAAGTGGAGAGGTGCTATACAACCTTCTGCCAAGGTTGTATGATCCTGCTCACTGGGCTGGCCTCCCCCTAACCCCTGCTCTTTGTGATACCTGTTCTCTCAAGCTCAAAATATAGGAGATATCACTTCTTTTCATCCCTCATCCATTATGTTACTCTGTGTTTGCCATTTCCTTAACCGGAACTCTTCCTTTTCCTTTTATTCTCCCTTGTCACTGGCTGAATCTGGCTATTTTGTTTTACTAGTGCAGGCAACTTTATAAAAACCTTATCTGTATTCTCATGACTTTGATCTCTTCCTTGTTTGAACCTCTTTGTGCTTTGGTGTACCTCTGTGGCACTTAATACATTCTACCTTGTGTTATGGTTGTCTTATCCTCTCTATGAGATTGTGAACTTCTTGAAGGCAAGTGCTATATGCTGAAAAAGTCCTGAGTAAATATTGGTTAAACTAAGTTCCAGATTTTCTATTTTCTGCTGACACTCTTTTAATGTCTTGCATCAGATACTATATCTAGAACCTAATTCTTTTTTTTTTTTTGAGACAGAGTCTCACTTTGTTGCCCAGGCTAGAGTGAGTGTCGTAGCGTCAGCCTAGCTCACAGCAACCTCAAACTCCTGGGCTCAAGCAATCCTGCTGCCTCTGCCTCTCGAGTAGCTGGGACTACAGGCATGCGCCACCATGCCTGGCTAGATTTTTCAATATATATTAGTTGACCAATTAATTTCTTTCTATTATAGTAGAGACAGGGTCTCACTCTTGTTCAGGCTGTTTGAACTCCTGACCTCGAGCAATCCGCCTGCCTTGGCCTCCAGAGTGCTAGATACTGCCGTGGACCACTGCGCCCGGCTAGAACCTTATCTATTTTCTCTCACAACTTTGCCTTCTTCCGACTTTCTCTTTTTTGTCCAAGGTATGCAATTCTTCTGTTGTCATGCATCTAGGAAAGCCTAATGCATAAAAGTTTATGAGCTAAAGTATACCAGTTATTTTATAAATGGCAAAATTGCATATAATTAGAGATTTTAGCACTGAAAGTAATTTTTAATTCATTGCTTCTTAGCCTTTTTGGAGGTGTGGGGATCTCAGATTCCTTTAAAAAGTGATGAAAACCACAGCTTTTCCTCTAGAAAAATGCACATATGCCCTCATGTATGTTTTTTTTTTTTAAGACAAGAGTCTCACTTTGTTATCCAGGCTAAGTGATTGTATTGTGGCGTCAGCCTACTCACAGCCACCTCAACTCCTGGGCTCAAGCAATCCTACTGCCTCAGCCTCCCAAATAAGCTGGACTACAAGCATGTGCCACATGCCGGCGTAATTATATATCTAATATATTTAGTTGGCCAATTTCTTTTCTATTACAGTAGGCATGGAGTCTTGCTCTAGCGCAAGCCCCTCATGTATTTTTTTACATAATCAGACTTCCTTATTTACAGATAGAGCTAAGTGATATTCATATGGCTGATCTGATTTGATAACTGGGTGGTATTCAATAGACGAAGATATAACAGCATTGTTTTTTTAGAATACATGGAGAAAAGAAAGGAGCTCTATCTTGGGTTAGTGTGCTAATTTTTTGTTTTGTTTTTTTGAAAAGGTCTTACCATGTACCCAGGCTGAATTGACTCCTGGGCTAAAAAGATCCCGCTTCAGCTTCTCAAGTAGCTGAGGCTACAGGCATGTGCCACCATACCAGCTAGTGCATAACAGTTTAAAGAAAAACCTATTCATGTAGATCATGATATAAATCCACAATTAGTTTGTTCTTTCTTTTGCCTACAAAATAGAACATTACCTCAATGTGGCAAGTACCTAGAATTTGACTTTGTTAAAATAGATCTTTTTTTTGAGACAGGATCTCGCTTTTGTTGCCCAGGCTAGAGTGAGTGCCGTGGCATTAGCCTAGCTCACAGCACCCAAACTCCTGGGCTCAAACAATCCCCTGCTTAGCCTCCCAAGTAGCTGGACTGCAGGCATGCGCCATCATGCCCGGCTAATTTTTCTATATATATTAGTTGGCCAATTAATTTCTTTCTTATTTAGTAGGGAAGGGTCTCACT